ATTTGGGGATTCTACAGAATCATAATTTAGTTGCCAGCAATCCTTTTAATCTTTTTAATGTAAATACTAGCTTTGAAAACAGCTAGGAGTTTCCTATTCTGTATGTAGACTGTACCTAAGTTAGAAGTCCTTTTCAAAAGTGAGGCTAAACATTAATTTTTCACATCTGGAAAGAAATATTGCCAGACTAAAGTCTTACTGTAAAGCCATAGGTCTTGCTGCTCTCCATAGTTCACAGGAGGAAAGTTACATGGCTACTTCCAGAACAGAGAATCCTAGCCACACTGCAACAAAAATGCAGGGAAGGTTGGACAAACCTCTCTGTTTCTGGAAAATCATAATCGCAAAGGTGTCTTATATATGAGAAGAGTGCATTAGGATGCTGTACATGAGCAAATATTATGATAGTTTGTCTTTCCTCACCCTTCTGTACATTTCATTGTGAGTTATTTTGCTAGTATGGAGAAAAGGCTGAAATATTCTGCTGGGAAAGACGACTGGTGCTTGTACACATAAGAAAAAGATATGACATAAAAAAGCTTTAGAAATTCCAAAGTTAATGGGATGATTAAGAACCTGCGAAGGCTTGCTTTGTTTTTTTTTCTAGAAGTTTTAAGCTGACTTGGAAATAAAGAGCAAATATCAGTGGGTGAAGTATGTTGAGCAGAACACTGAGTGATTGGTTTGGAATTAATTTTGTGATTTACCTCTAGTCTTGTAATTTTTTTTTATTTTACTTTTTTAAATTTATTTTATATATTTGCTTTGAGATAGTATAATGCTGAGGATATGGGATAGAATTATTTTTGGGATCGATATTGCTTCATTTAAACAAGGCTATAGGAAAAACTTTTTAATTCATACTTTTATATATAAAAAAAGTGTAGTGCTGTTAAGAAAAAATTGATTCATCATATTCCAAATCTTTTAACTTAGAAAGTATTTGAAGAAAATTTCTATATTTTTGTCCTGATGTGCCCCCTTGACTTCCCTATTTCCATATAGCATGTTGGCAATAGATATTGGCATGTTGGCGACATACTGTTTCAGTGCTGTTTTAAAATTTCAAGCTGCTTTTTCCAGTTGGTAGTCAATTAGGAAAGAGAGGCATTCTCTGCTGGCATGATCATTTTACCTATGCATGTTGTTTGCCCTCTTCTCCCTGTATGTTTTGTTTAAAACCATAAAATTCGGGTAGTGTCTGTGTTTTAGCACATTTCCACAGCTCTTAATGTAAAGGAACCCAAGATTATGTTTGACTGATTGCACTGCTAGTAAATAATAGCTGTGTCAGACAAATGATGTTGACTTCACATGCATGTTAAAGCAAAAATGATGCAGTCTATCTTGAGCAAATAATTCAGTAAATACTTTGATAGTGTACATGGGAGAAATTAATAATATATTTTTCTCTTTTTGAAACTAAATGGAAAAGTTGGGTTTGTGACTTTGAAATAATTGCGTATGTTAAGGAGTCATTTATTTCTGCTAGCATGTTTACTGGTGTCTCAAAGGGTAAAAATCAACTGTGTTAGAATGGCTTTCAGATTTTTGTGGTAGTGGAATATTAGTTTTGCTACTGATAAACCTTTGTAACTTGAGGGCTGCTTAATGTTTGAGTAAACTACTGAAAATGTCATAAAATTATTCTATCAAGTCACTTCACTGATTGCTTAGCTTATCTGTTCATTTCTTTTTTCCTTAGTTTACTACTTTCCCATGGTGTCTCTTGAAATGCCTGGTTTTTTTCCTGTGTATAATTGAGTGATAATGGGATGTAGGAATTTTTTTTAATTCTAGCACTATCATCAGTCTTGGAGTAGAATTTCATTAAGATTATGTCTCCAGCTAGTTCACTAGCTTTCTAATTTTGGTAGAAAATTCTTTGCTTATGTCATGATAGTTGGTATTTTTAACTATAAAACCTCATAGCCAGCCAGCCATTTCTAAGGGCTTATAATTATACATTCACACAATTTAAGCATGTATTAAGCACAAAGCGAACATCTAATTGTGAAAATAATTAGTGTGGATCAATATTAAAGCCCAACAGCAATATTAGACACATACACAGAGATTTATTTTTTTGACATTAAATCTCAATTCTCGTACATCTTGTTTTGCCCATGATTGTCAGGCAGGAAGAATGAGTTGGCTTTAAAACATTTTCGTGGTTACCCTATACATATGTTATACAGATTGTTATGAAAGGGCCTTGTTTAAGTTTGTTTTCTTTCTTAAGAAAGAAAAATATTCCAGATTAACAAAAAGCTTTACATGGACCAGCTCATACACTTTCTGTGTATGTAATAATTCTTTGCTTGTCTGAGGACTGAAGCGGGGTATGGCATATTACATCAGAGAAATGTGACAAACTTTGGAAAAGTCAAATAGTGTATCAGCATTACAGGTTGACAAATTTTTTCTGACCTGTCACAGAAAGTATATTTAAGAAAAGGTTTCAATTACATACAGGGTACCCTGTACATTCTTTGGACTTGCCTGGGGTAAAAAGCCTGAACAGGATTCACTGGGAAATCAGTGAGCTAGAAACCGGTCTCTTTATAGCATCTAAACTGTTTGTCCATCATCTGCTGAGTCCTGTTTATTTATAGTGTAGGAAGGACAGGTATTAATATTGATAGCCTGGGTTTAGCGTGTCAATAATCTGAGTTTTCCTTAACCTTGCAAAGAGAGGAACAGAGGTCCCAGTCACATGCAGGTTGACATTATTTAATGTGTCATTGTTTAAACTTGGGCATTTTGCTTCTTGTTTTAACACTGAGGTTCGGTGAAATGTTATTGCTGTGTTCAGTGTGTAGGTATAGTTTTGACAAAGTGGATCTTTATAGTAAGTGGAAATACATAGCTTTTCTATTTATATTTTTTGATTGAACGCACACTGTACCACTCTATAGTCTTAAGGTTTTTTGTTTACATATATGTATGTATACAAATACGTATGAAAATATATATATTTAAGGATGTGTGTGTATATGTGTGTGTATGTATATATATCTTAAGATTTTATCAGTTGTGCTACTAGCAGCTCATAATTCTAAAGCAATTTCTAAAGTAAGAGATCATTTAGTACTAGTGAAACCTTTATACCATACACTGTTTTCCATAGGTAACTACTTATTGCTATAAATTCATTTCAGCAATTTGGAGAGGGGAAGGATTGTTTGGGGTTTTTTGTGTTTTCAGTACTTCCTGCATAGTCTGTTACAGAGGCAAATGGCCATGTACCAGAAATTGGCTACAAAATGTGGAATTGGTGTAAAGAGAATAGGGGGATTAATTTTTGTTCTGACAGTGAAAAGCCAGAAGAGTTTGCTTCTTAATTGCTTGGAAGAGGGCCAACAATGAAGGGTCAGGCTTGCAAAGAGCTCTGTGGTTGACGGCTTGAGAACTGGTGATGTGGTGGTCGCTCTAGTTGTGCGGCACAATGGCAGGTAAGGATCACTGTGAACGGAGAGGGAGACTAGTTAGAAACATGGTTAATTTTTGAAAGTAGGTCAACTGAGGAGAAATGGTGTTTTCAGTATGCAGTACGTGCAGCAAGGGTGTGGGTTTTGTTCTAATGTTTTGTGTCTGTTGAGGATTTGGGATTAGCCATCATCCTGTTCTTTACCAAAATGGAATCTTTTCATAACCTTTTAAAGAAAGGTGAATATAAAAATAGATGTGTCTAGAAGCAGGTTAGTAATGCGATTTCAAAGGCTGGGATAAATCTGTAGAAAGTTGTGGGGTTTTTGTTGTTTTTTTTTTTTTTTTAATCAAAGAAGGTAAATCATGATCTTTATACACTAGCAGAAAAACTGTTTCAAGGGCATCTGTTAATAAAAGATGAAATACAAATTATATATCGGGAAAACTGATTAGACTTCCTAATCACCTTCCTCCTAAGAGTAGGGGACTATTGAAAGGAATTTAAAAGGTAGCACATCAAAATCAATACAGGAAAGTAGTTTTCATCTAGTCTCCAATTGCAAACTCTGAAACTAATTGCTATCATTTACTTCAAATCTTACAATTTTCATACCTGCATAATATAATGAAATATTTGCATGGCTAGCAAGCAACAGTATGGATAAATGTTTACTTACAAATTTATGCTGAGTGGTTTGTTGGTTTTGTTACCATATGCCTAAACCCTGTGACAGATATTTGTAGCCCTTTATCTCTCTGCCCCTTGGTTAGAGATTGTTTAATGGCAATTATTTCTTTTATTGCCACCTCCAAAGGTTAATTGTGGCATGCAGTGGTGAATAAATACTGGTTGTTTTCAGGGTTCAGTCCCAAGGGCACTTATGTCAGTTTCAGCTGGAGATCCTGCAGTCTTTTCCTTTGCTCTCCTGTTCCTTCAGCTGCAATCATCCTTGCCTCTTGTCTGTTGTATACATGCTGATGCTTCTGCACAGAGTTGGTTCAGGAAGCTCAACTGGAAGAATTTTCTTTCTTTTGTTCTTCCCCCGCCCCCCCCCCCCCTTCCGTGTTTGTG